ACTGAGATTGTAAACCCAAAGTCACTGATGGCTGAACTGGTGATGGCCGCGTGCACGCTTACCGCCGTGTCTTGCCTTGGCTCTATGCGCTATTGGGGGCCAGAGCTATACTCTGTACCCTTCCTGGTTTGGGGGCTTGATCGTCTGGTACGGAAATTTCTGTGGGACATCATCACGTCGGATCATGGAAGTATGATCATCAGATATTCACTTGTCGCTCGGCCTTGGGTGGTGAGTTGATGCACACAAGCCCTGAAGGATTGTTTGGTCAAGGATTGGAGGTATACCTCGTGCCATGATCCATCGACTTTGGCGTTCGTTTCTCTCATAGCTATCCTCCGCGTTTCCGAAGTTGTCCGTCGAGCCGGACTTCGAGATTGTCAATGAACCCTCAAGGACGCGGGTGTAAACACCCAAATAGGCTCATGCCGCTGTTAAAAGTCTTGTCTTGCGGGTCTCGTGGAACCATATTGACCCGGAATATCGCGCTGCCGGGCGGAGCGAGATCTGGCATGGGTTATGTGGGCAAGCCATCGCATGTTCAATACAGTGAAAAGGGGCAGTGCCTGTCCGATGTCGCCGTCAACTGAACATTCATTGAAGAGGATTCCCAGAATCCCAGTGGCTTGTGCTAGTGTAGACTGGGGCTCATCCGAAGACAGTCCGTCTGGGTCAGAGCCAGGCTGGGTAGAGCGCTCCACAGGTTTCACGGCTGTCAATGTTTCGAAATGGTGACGTGGGCTCGAGGAGAGGAGGATGAGGACTCGGGTCCTGGGGAGAGGGAGAAGAAAAGTGACCGGGGTGGAAGACGTGGTAGCCTTTAGGTAGGGGTGGTAGGGGTGATGGAGGGATGAGGCTCCCACTTCCCGAACCTTGATTGCTTTTAGCTCTTTGGCTTTTCTTCAGCTCCTCCTTTTCTGAAGAACGGGTGGCATTTACATGATCGCATGTGATTGGCCCTTGAGATCGCCATGTCCAGGGGTTCTCGTCTCAAACCGACTTCAGAAATAGGCGCTCACCTCACCATCTGGGCCGAATCGGATATCTTGCGTGAACTAACACTGACCATAGTTAGCAAGTGACAGCCTTCAGAAACTTCCCTTTCCCCTCTTGAGATCGGTTGACGGCTGCCGGAAAAGCTTGCACTCTCCCTCGAGGACATGTCACACTGCCTCAGCTCAACGAAGCATCTCCGTCAAGGAGTAATCGCGCAGAAGCCTCGCTCAAAAACCAAGGTTCTTCCTCTCATCACCATTGACACCTCTGGGCGTTTCTGTCACGTTCACTGACGATCAAGCTCGCGTGTCACAGCGCCAAGGAAACGCCCCAACTTCAAGTGCCGCAGGAAACTACCTATAGACCGCCAAGTCCAGCCATCACATCTCAAGGAAGTCATCAAACGGTTTGTCTTTCTCTACTTAACGGTCATGGCTTAGCGGATGAACCTTCACCATGAGCTTGGCTCGTGCTTGACTGGTGCTTGGCTGCAACGACACCTGTGTCCCACGTCTATGCTTCCTTGCTTATCCTGTTTCTCTAAAAGCTTGGCCTCGAGCCTGCTTGTCGTGTTTAGCTAATGGTAACTCCAAATGTGATCATCACTCCGGTCATTGGATATGTAGGGAGGAGCCATATCTAGGAGAAATGTCCGGACGAGTCTTGTGGGATCAAGCTTAGATGGCATGTGCCATGTCAACTGCATCCGTGCGAAACGCGATCGAAGAATTGAAAATGGTTTCGAGATCAAGCTCTCTTGCATGGTCACGATAACATAGGTTCAATCCAAATCGATAGTCTAACTACCTCGTAAGATGGGCACTTCCATTTGCGGCACTACATGAATTAAGGCCATACCATTTCGTCTCACGACTGACTGTATCCAAGTGAGAAAGGGTGCTGTCATTGCGCGTTGCAAAAGATACCTTCTAAGTGATGATCCTAAAGCTTTAGCTGCGACTACGATGCCAGCGTCATGTTTTACAATGCCTTCTCAATAGTGCCCATGCCCTTGTTGAACTCTGCTTGAACCGACTTCAAGTTCTTCACAGAGTCGGGCAAAACGTCGTCTCTCCACCACTCATACCATGCCATGATCTCCTCGAAATTGGCATCCTCCAGGCTAAGCCACTCACTCAACTTCTCATGCCACAAGGGGAACACCTCTGTAACAATGACCTCGCCCAGCACCTTCGGCGTCAAGATATCAGACCACTCGAGAACGCCTGTGAGCATAGGCAGGTATGGCTCCTGGTCGCTCGGGTCTACTCTAAAGTTCTTGCGCAGGTATCGTCCCATAGCAGGCAACACATGGCTCATGATCAAGGAGCGCCATTGGTCACCAAGCACATCACGCCACTGTTCCAGGCCAGGGATCACGCCGCGATCAAAGTCCCAAACATCAATGAGCTGTCTGTACTTCCTCCGTACTTCGGCAACCAAGCCGGTGCCCTTGGGCTCCAGGTGGTACGAGGGCAGGTACTGAAGCCAGGGGAAAAGCCACAGATGAGGCAATTTATGGCTTTGTCTCTTCTTTTTCGGATTCCATTCCGCTACGGCTGTTTCCAACTTGCGGACGACGGCATCGAGGAACTGGGCGCGAACAAAGGGAGGCAGCAGGTCTGCCCATGCCTCTAATACAGCCAGTAGCGGTGCGGGGTTAAAAACATCCCAATCCCGGATGGCCGACATGGCTCTTGTGTACCACAGTTTGTACATCATGGTTTCGTAAGGTGTTGTCGCTTTTTGATGTTGCCGGTATAGGTCGTTGCTGTTCAGACCAGTGGATTCCCACTTGTGCAAGGCTTTGTTGCCCTCGCCAGGCCTCATCAGTAAACTTCCAAGACCCTTAAGCTCAGTAGCAAACCGCGTAGGGTCCTCCAGTAGGTTCCAATCGGGGTCGCGGAAGAAGGGGTAGATGGCAGCCACCGCGAGGTCCGAGATTTCGTCCGTCGCTGGTCCAATATTCTGAACGGCCTTCTCTAGACAGCGAATGACGTCCTCCCATTCAGTAGCCAACGGAAGCTCGTTGGTGACAATGTTGGAAAACAGTTGCAGTCTTCCCAAGTCTGAGGCGAGCTCCGCCATCTCCTGCTCTCTTTCGCGCAGTTCCAGATCTACCCAAGTCTTTCGCTCTTCCAGGTTTCTCCACTCTTCCGAAAAGGCTGCTAGGTCGGCATGTGCTCGCTTCACCAGCTTCCGCGCAGCCACCAGCTCGGGAGATTCGACAACTGCGGCAGAAGTGGGCGTCAAGAGTCCAGAAGCAGTCGTCAGAAGCTTGTTCCCGGGTCCTGTCATATCCAGGATAGGCGCAAATGCCTCTGGGATGTGGAGTCCTGGGGCAGACTTCTTGATCTCTTCCGCCGTCATGTACTTGGGCTTCTGTCGTTTGGGAGTGCTGACGCTGCTGCTGCCGCCTGCGCTTGCGACCTTCTTCTTCCTTTCTCGCTTTCTTTTCCGTTCCTCTTCCTCCGAGTCGACTACTTCCTCGCCTCGTAGTTTCGCTTGTCGCTTCTCCTCCTTCCTCTCGTGCTCTGATTTTTCTTTGACGGCACCTAGACCGACACCCTGTGGTCTGAGGTGAGCTTCGATGATAACGCTTCGACCTTGTCCTTCTTTTCCGAGACCTGTTCCTTCTTGATAACCCATCTTGGCCATCATCCGCGCACCGAACGATTTCGGGTTCGGCTTTCCTTTCGCTCCCTTTGCGCCAAATGCGCTTGGGCGGGCCATCTTTGGCATCGAAGGTGTGTCCTGGAGGTCGGGGTTTAGGACCGGCACGTTCGCAGACGATGGGACGAAGCCGCGGCCGAGGATGTTCTTGCCATCGAACTTTGTCTTTGCGAAAGATCGTGCTGGGGCGCCAGTTGCCTTCGCGTCCTCGTCACTCTCGTTATCGTTCTGTGTGGGCTGAAATCCTAGGCCACCGCGGGCTCCACCAAATCCAAGACCAACCCCTCCGACGTCATCCTCGTCGTCTTCATCGTCATCGGCATTGGAGTCGTCCGAGTACTCCTTCGTATTGGTGTCCTTCGCGTCGTCATCGTCATTTTCGTCGAGAGTAGTTGTGCCGGTAGAAACAAAGTTCATGCCCTTGCTGCGGAGTGTCTTTTTCTTCCATCGCTTCCCAGGAAAGTCATCTTCGCTATCTGACGCAAAGATTCCGAGCGCGGCGCTTTCCTTGGTGTTGCCGACGCGACGGCGCTTTCGTGGGTTCAAGTCGCTGTAATCATCGGCTTGCGACGGGTCTGTGACGGGGGCTAGGTAGTCGTCTTCTTCCTCGTCCTCTGATTCCGAAGAGTAGTGAGCAGCCGCCTTCTTCGTCAGGCGAGAAGGGTCGAAAGTTGGAAAGCTGGCCATGCTGTTAGCCAGGCTCAAAGCGGCGCAAAGAGGTGTTCGTACGTGAAAGACGGCGCGTTGCTACTTTTTTGGAGGAAATGCATCATTCAAGGCACCGACTCCGAGCTCCAGGCGGGTCCTTTCTTTATCTTATCTACACGTGACCCGACGCCTACCCAAGGTACCTCACCTCAAGCAGTCAGATATCGCGACTCAAGAGGCCAATTGCTTTACCTACCCCCGAAAACCAGTCGAGGCAAGGTATCTTTAGTAACAAAGTTCATCGTCAATGCTCCTCTACATTGTGGTTTAATCACAATTTCGGAACAGCTTCACTTTCGGAATGCAATATCTACAGCGAATTGAGTTAGTTTGACCATTAGAGTCCTCTTGGACCCAAAACTATCAAATCTCGAAGGAATCTAGGAGAAAAATTATCCATATATAAGTAGCCATATCTTAGGATTTCCAGAGCTTTCAAGTATCGCAAACATCAAGCGTACGTATGTGGAATGGCGTTTGTTCAAAATTTATGAACATGGCAGTTCTTGGTCTAGGTATTCAGATATTCCCGTTCTCTTTCCACCTGATCCTCGCTGCCGAACCCGAGCGAAGGCCATTTAAGAAAACGTTTACTACTCGTCGGACATCGCAACCCCGCAAGCCTACAAGTCACGAATTCCCGCAGCCAAACTCTCCTTCAGCGGTGTCCAGCCCTGACCAAAGTACTCCTGCAACAACTTCTCAGCCTTGGCCGCTGGGGGAAGTTCGCTGATATCACGCCCCTCGTCCGCCTGCTTCTCCGGGATCAGCTTGTTGTCCGGTCTCAGCTCACGGAAAGCGTCAATGAAGTCGGATGCGTTGACGGGGTGTGCGGAGGCCCAGATCCTCTGAGACTTGACGGGCTCGGCGAGCAGGGCGATGGCGTGAAGACGCGCGACGTCGATTACGTCGACGTACCACTCTGCCAAAGTCGTTAGTCTGGCGTACATGAAGGTGTGCCGGATGAAGGCTAGGTGAGACTTACGGGGCATAAAGGCGCTGAGCATGCCGGCCTGTCCCTTGAGCAGATCACGAGCGAAGCCCATGGTTGAGCCACCGATATTGGGGTGGAGGATCTCTCCAGTCTACGAACCGGTTTAGCGCTGTCATCGCAGTGATTATGGACATAATACTCACGTTAAAGTTCGGCAGGATGGTGTTGAACGAGTATCCAGGCTTGTTCTCCTCAATCCACTTCCACGCAGCCCTCTCGCCCTCGGCCTTGGAAGCAGAGTAAATCGCGCCGGGCTTGGTCTCCTTGGGTGTGTTCGGGTCCCACGCTGCCTTGATAGCAAAGTCGTTCCAGGTACCTGAAGGAAAATCAGTCAGCATCACGGGAGGATGAATTTCAGTTTCTCATGGCACAGCGTACTTTCGTCAATGTGCATCTCCCTGTTGGGCTGAGGAATGACGGCGGCAAAAGCAGAAGATGTGAGGACGAAACGCTTGATGCTCGAGTGCTTTGCCGCGGCGGAGAGGGCCGTCTCAGTCGCCTTTACGACCCAGGGGATGACGGCTTTAGGGTCATCACTCATTGAAATGTCGGACGCCTATTCCGCGTGGATCAGCCGCTGGTTTCCTTACTCTCTGATTGAACTCTCGGACTCTCTCGATAATCACTTACCACATGTGCAACACCAGATACACCAGCCATGGCCTTTCCGAGAGCCTCCTCGTCCTCGAGATTGGGGACGAGGACTAATTCAAAGGCGTCCTTGTCATATTTGCTGTGGAAGAACTCGCTGAGCCACGGCTTCTCTGATCGAACTGTGCCGCGCACCCGGTAGCCGAGTCCGAGGAGGACGTTGATCGTGTGAGATCCGATGTATCCATTGGCTCCAGTGACGAGGATGAGCGAGCCCTTCGGAAGTGCGGTGAACCCAGACATGATGTTCAGCTACAATCGAGAATTGGGTATGATAGCAGATAGGGAATGTTCAAGGGAGATCTAGATAGATATGTATGCTCAGGATGCTTTGAAGTTGAATTGACGGTTTGACTAAATGGACAGTGCACATATATATTCATCTCATGTTGTAAACACCGACGGGTTTAAATCCCATGCAGGCGGTGGGCCGTGGAGAACGGCAAGCGGTCCATTACTAACATTCACAGATTCCACTAGAAGTGGATTTGCTTAGAAGACAACGACCCCTCCTTCGAAGCGGTGGTCTAAAATGCAACCAAAGACGCAGATGTGGACGCCAAATCGACGCTTGGATAATGACGTATGCATGACCACCCTGTCTAAAACTCCTGGTCTGCGGTAGCCTAAGCCTTTTACTGTTGGCTTAATCGTCCCTAGGTAAAGGTAGCGGTCGCATTTGCATCGAGCGAAAGCGAGGGAGCCTATCCCCCACGGATTTGCAATATCTCTTGGCGTTAGACTAGATAAGGTTGATGGTTGGGGTGGTTGGGTGGCTGTCTGTAGGTTGAGTGTTGGTTTGTGGCTTATGAATCGTGCATGCAGCTCGCAGCATGTTTCCTAAATTGGCTATGGTGCTGACATGTAGTTGAATGGTTTGAAATCCAACAGGTGAGAGCAAGTGAAGGCATCAAGATGAACAGCTTAATAATGCAGGATCGCCGTGGCTTTTTAGTTCGCAAGAGGGATTCTCGAGGGGGTATCATGAGCAGCCTTACATGCTAATCAAGCAGAAACAAGCGATGAAGTGGTTGAACTCTTTATGATCAATGAATTGCTATAAGAAGGAAAAATCACCTTCAGTCACATCCCGCAAACTACTAAACAGTCGGTTGATGAGCTAGCTAACGCTACGCAGTGGTTCCCGCACACTTACAACTCTCTTTACTTTTAGAACTCATGTGACGCGAAATGTCACTTGTTAGCTTGTGAAGTAATTATCAGCCGCAGTGTCGGCATTTTAACATTGAGTTCTACGAGAAGCACTTGTAGACTACGGCTTGCTCGAGCAGCTTGAGCGTACCGAAGTTACATGTATCAATCTGACCAATTACAATTTCGTCTCGGTGCTTACTTACTTCAAAGCTGAAAGCTGAAAGCTTATGCAAGCCGTCTAAGCACGACGATTGCTTTGGCAGTCCTAATAACTCAATTATATGAGAGATTCGATCAATGGCTTCAACACAAGTCTGCAAGGTATGCCTCTCAGAGCTGAAGGCTCTGGTTTAGATTGATAGAGAGACAGCCAGACTGCCAGCAAGACACGTCTCTTGCAAATGACTTGATTGACAAGCCTACGCTGTCTGTCCTGTAGTATATCACACTTTGCATGGCTTCCGCCTGACCTATCTAATACTTTATACAGTTTTTTGCATCAATGACTCGGAGTAGATGTGAAGCGGATTTTCTCCGATACTTGGGCTTTTTACTTGAATATTGCCTGTCCGTGATAGAAAGGACCTTCGTCCTCTGAACAGAAATAGAATGGCAGCCAACTACTAAACAGTATTCTCTGTCATTCGTCAAAACGTTTCTTGACCCGGGAAATATTATGCACAGCTTGAGTGTTCTGCATTGAACAGGCATCCCTACTATCTAGTTGCTTTATGATGGTGGGAATCCCATCCAGTGTTGAACGACGATAGTGTATTGACCTCTAGTTTTCTTTAATGCCAATATATTTTTGAGTTTTCAATCAAACGTGTTGAAATAACTTATAATGGTGATAATATGGATTATGAAGGAATAATACGTGATCTGTTATTACGTTACGTGCTGTGGCGATGCATTGACGCTGACGCTATCCAGCAGTCGATGGGATACTGGTGCGAGTTGTTTGATGGCTCACAGGAACTTGGGATGACCAGTCATAGCTATGGCCATGAAATTATGCAGACATGCTCATGTCGTCTATTAAGATCCTCCAGTTGCCAGAGATCGGGTATGGATCTGTGCTCCACGAAACTCGATCGTCTCTGTAACAATCTCACGTGCCCCAGTTGAGGAAACGGCAACGGCACTCCAACGGCTAGATGGAAGGGTCGCTTGGACCACTTACGTTGGGGAATGCCAGGTGGTTGGGGAAGTTCGGGGAACAAGTCTCGGGGGGAGCATCGGCTGACAACGTGGGAAGGATTCTGCAGGGAGGGCTGGCAACGTGGCAGGCCGGGGGGTTGCAGAAGAATGATGCCCGGCGGGCTCAGGATCGAAAGGTCCAGCCCATTTTGTAGGTATGCTGGTCTCGATTGATAATACATTCCGTCCGCAGCATTCTGGAGTGATGCGGGAGAGCGAGAAGTCTTGATCCCGTTGGGGCTAACTGTACGGAAATAATGTAGATGGAATGCGAGCATAGTCGCATTCTTGGGTGTGTGTAGGTATTGGGGTGTGGAAAGAGCTCACATGCTATTTGGGTAACGTAACGGTACACATGACAGAATGGACAGAATGGTACAGGAGGGGATGAGCAGACATGAGATGAACAAGGCCAGCCCCTGACTGTCGACGAAATCTACACCAGCCGGCAAACGAGCAGTGACACGAAGAAGAAATCCTACAAATTTCTTTTTCCTCCATCCCTTGATCCCCTTTTTCTCATAAGAAAATGATGGATCTGATGTGCTTGGAGCAAAAGTAATGTAGGTAAGACTTGACGCTGTTAGTAGACTCGTACCCGGTACAAACGGCCAGATCCACATCCAAGAAGTGCAGCGGGGCAGCAGTGCAAATTTCGCAACCGAGGAACCTCCGATAAGTACCGCACGGGAGAATGAGGGGCACGAGACTTGGCCTGCTATCAGCAACTACTGTAAACAAATTGGCATCTGGGGGCAGATCCCATTTCATGGAAGCAGGCAATTCCTTATCAGAGATCATCTTCAGTCTTACACTAAAGGACTAGGGACTCTGCCTTGGGTGTGTTTCGGCACGATTCGATTCAACAAGAACCCTGGCCTAGCACACAGAAACCCAACACACACAGAAACGAAACAAGAGAAAAGAGAAGAGTCGCTACGCAGTACTGCTAGGTGTTTGAGGGTATGAGGGCAAGGAGGGGCTGTCGAATCACCAATTGAGTCACACTGTGACACAATCACATTCACACATGCACATATGCATCTCATGCTCCAGTTTTCCCCCTCATACTTCAGCCAGGCTGAGCCCGTACGGTTACGGAGCAGAGGGCAATGGAGGGGCATCTCAGGCCTGGCCTGGACGCCCACGGTCCGCGAATAGACAGAGTTGCGGGTAATGGGAGGACCCTTGCCTTGCCCTCACGGCTCCTCTCCACCGTCCACGTCCTTGGGCTGGATTAGGCGAAAATCCAATCCCACTGTGGGCAAAGCACGCAAGTTAATAATGGAACGGAGTCGGAAGAAGGCCACAATTCGAGATGGCCCTCGTGGTCCTGTAGGGCTGGGCGTTGTCGAGGACCTCGGCGATGTTGTACAGACTCTCTTGCTCATGCTGCTGCTGCCTTGGAGATTTCTTTGGGAGCACCGAGGACAGTCTGACCATTGCCCAACCATGTCGCTGATATCTGCGATCGGAATAAAGCAGTCAGTTCAGTTCATGCCTCGGTCTTTTTCAGAATAGGCCCCGGAACCTGAATGAGGCGGCGCCGCAATCGCTTTGAGTATTTGCTCGCCTTTAGCTTAGCGAGTTTCCTTGTCTCGCATTGCGCAAGTACCCGTGCCGGGGCTTGACTGAACAGAGAGTCCTAAGAGGAATCCATCAGCAACTTGATTGGGGAAGATGAACACCACAGCCCAGCATTTAGAATCTTTTCCTATCAAGATGGAACGGGCGAGGATGCAGATAAGAGCGTTGATTGTAGGTGCATGTCTGACCGGACTGACCTCATCAGACATGAACGAATGCACTCCATACCCTGCTCTGCTCTGCTTCTGCTTCGCCTCTTGGGTTCCGAGAGACAGCAGCCGGTCGGCAGCACGTTTGGTAGCAAGCGGGAAGCAAGGCAACCCAATCTGGGCCCAATCTGGAGGCATGACGATGTTTGGACAATAAATGAATGGGTAAGGTTCATGACGGTGAATGTAATACGAAGCAACGGAATACTTGATCATTTTTTCCACTGCATTTTACCGCAGCGCACCCGTACTTACTTAGGTTGTACCTTAACTGCTGTTTTGGTAGGTAAGTAACGGAAAGAAAGTACCCGACCGCACCATCCTTTCTCCCCTGAACCACACGGAACGAGAGGTATACGCAAGGTACCCCGTGACATTCGTTCAATGTCCACTGTTCAGTGTTTCCGTCAGCTTCTTCGACCCCAGAGAGCTCCGAGGGTGCGCGCGCGCGCACGCACACAAACAGAGCCAAACATCCGTAGCCGCAGCCGCAGCCGCACGTCAGCAGCAAAACAACCGCTGCCAGACTTGGTGCACCTGCAAGTACGAATACCTACCTACCTCACCTTACCTTAGTACCTGACGTGCCGACTGGGACAAGAGTAACAAGGGCCGTCCTTTCTTTCAGCAGGGCACACCCGCTGTCCATCCCACCTCTACCACCCGACCTCTTCCTCTTCCTCCCACTGCGGCCAAGCCAAAGTGCCAACCTGGGAACTCCGACGACCGTCCCTCCGACTCTCAAGTCCCTACTGCGTAGAAAGCCAGCGATTCCATTGGGCCAAAAGAGCACCTTTACCTTACCTAAGGTAATCGTACCTCAAACCCACCGCTGCGCAATCCAATCTCGACGACGTCCGGTGGCCCATCCCACCCTCACCACAGCCATTCTTTCTTCCCGAGTCCAAAAACCACCACGCATCCACGAATCCACACCCACACACACACACACACCACCCCTCCTCTCCCCCAACACCGACAAGGAGAGAGAAAGACAGCGAGACGTACGGAGGACAGAACCCACGCGACCACATTCGAAGCGTCCGATACATATCTATCCGACAACCGACGACAGGCTCCGGCTTCAGCCCATCCTTTCCATCGCTAATTCTCCTTGCACACGAGGCTTAGAGCGCCAACGCGCCCTCTGTACAACAGCAATCACCGTACCTTTTCCCGCTTTTGTACGTACCCTGGTCCTCTGGCTACTGTCCTACTCCTCCTCCTCCCCCCGAACTCGTTGCCTCACTGCCTGGGCTCGCTGCTCCCTACTGCTTTGCTTCATTCGTGGTGCTTCCTGTTGCCTTCCGCTTGCCTGGAAAGAGTACGCGCGTTGCGAGCTGGATTGACTCGAAATCCCCTCTGTCGTCCATCGTTTCGCGGCCGGGTTTTCCCCTCTCCTTCGAGACTGGATCGTCAATTTTCCCTCATCTCTTCCCTCCCCCTCTATTATCAATCAGCTCCTCTTTTCTGGGCCCGATGCGCCGGCCCCTCCACTCCGCCGGCGACAACATCTGCAGACCTCACCACCACCACCACCACCACCACCACCACCATCAAGCCCTGCTTTTCCTGCTCTGCCTTCGCTTGTCAGCAAAAGCCTTCTAGACAATCTCTTTGCTGACACTTCCTCCTCGCTCAGCCGCCAAGTCATTCAAGCGACCGATACCCCCAAACCCGTCCTTCGCATGCGTTGAACCCAAGGTATAGAGAAAACGATTGGCCATTTATTACTCTCGCTACGATTCGATTTCTGCGGCCGATACACGCCCTTTGTCTATCCCAACAAGACATACGAATTTCGCATGCTCAATCATCGGATTGCTGCCCAGTTGATTGTTTTATCGCTCTTTGTCCATCGTCGCCGCGACTCGTCCGGCGCCGTGACATAGACAACCCACAAATACCGCCACCATGTTCTGGAGATTTGGCGGATACGCCAACATATCCACCATCGATACTATCCTCGAAAAGCCCGAATTTACCGTCGAAGACCTCCTCGACGAAAGCGACCTGATTCAAGAGCTCAAGCAGCACAATACGAAGCTTATCGAATACCTCCGCGAGGACAATGTGCTCAAGACTCTGCTCGAATATGTCGTCGCACCCAAGTTAGAGCCCGTCGCCACCCCAGAACCAGATGAACCCGCCGAGGAGATCAAGGGCAAGGGTCGCCTCCTTCCCTTTTCAAGACCTCGCGCCTCGTCCCGAGCTACCGATACCGACAACGAGGAGGAAGAGCAGGAGAAGAAGCGCAATCGCTATGCCTACGTTGCTGCCGAAGTCTTGTCATCCGACACGTGGTCCATTTACGAGGCCATGATGGAAAACCAAGACCTGGTGCGGGAATTTTGGCAGTTTCTGAAGCGCCCGACGCCTCTTGACCCCCTGCAAGCCAGTTACTTTACGAAAGTCAACGAGGCTTTGTTCGACAAGAAGACGGAGGAGATGGTTATCCTTCTCAAATCTCTCCCCGAGGCCGTGCCCGACTTGCTCCGTCATGTTGAGTGCCCTATGATTATGGATCTGCTTCTCAAGATCATTGCCCTAGACCGCACAGAGGGCGGCCAGGGTGTTGTAGAGGTGCGTGCAGCCCAGCAATCCCCCCTTCCCCCATCCCCGCCGAACAAGGTTGAGAGCTAATTGTATCCTTTTTGCAGTGGCTATACGGCCAAGACGTTGTGCCGACGCTGCTATCCTGCCTCAGCCCGGAGCACAGCTGGGTTGTTCAGACAGCTGCAGGCGACTTCATCAAAGCCATCATTACCATTTCGGCCAATGCATCGCAAAACGAGCAGCAATGCATCGGCCCGAACGAACTCACCCGCCAGCTGGTGTCGCAACCCTGTGTGGAACAGCTGATCAAGTACATGTTAGGAGGTGGAAACCCGCTGACCGTGGGTGTCGGCATCATTATCGAAGTCATCAGGAAGAATAACTCGGACTATGATCCAGACGTTGGCACCGAAGCCAACTCTGTTCCCTCGAGCCGAGACCCCATCTATCTAGGAACCCTCCTCCGCTTGTTTGCGCAACACATTCCCGATTTCGTCAACCTGATTATGAACATCCCGGTGCAGAAGGGACCGTTGGAATCGACCTTTGGCGAAAAGATAGAGCCTCTTGGCTTCGACCGATTCAAGACGTGCGAGTTGATGGCCGAACTGCTTCACTGCAGTAACATGGGCCTACTCAATGAAGTTGGTTCCGAGGACGTGATTGCAGCTCGAGATGCTGAGCGTCAGCGCTTAAGAACGGAGGGTAAGCTTACCCCAAACCGTGGAGAAGAACCGCCATCATCTACGGATGACTTGACGATGCGCATCGGTCGTTCTTCTCCCGAGGAGGGACGTCGTTTAGAGGTAACCAATATCTCAGACGATGACGGATTCGAAGAGGTTGAGCCCAGCCGCGAAATGAACGAGGACACGTCCCACGAGTTCGTAAAAGCCGAAGAAGAGATTCCTGTCGCTGCACCAGCCTCGTCCTTCCTGGACAGAGACGAAGACGACTTTGTGGACGAGCCGCTCAGCTCGCCCAGACTCAACGTCGCAGATGACAAAATCAAGGAACAACGATTTGATGACCCCGATCTGGTGGTCGCTCCCCTTTCGCCGAACAAGCCAAAGACTGCTTCCATCGATGAGACTGCTGCAGCAGCAGCGGTTTCCGAAGCCAAGTCCGAATTTGAGGCGAAGCCGGATACCGTTGACGCCAAGAGTGAAGAGCCGGCTGCGAAAGAATCCAAATCTGAGAAAACTGAGAAGACTTCCGGCGCAGACGACCTGGCTGACAAGACCTCGGATGATGCTACCATTAACAAGGTAGAGGAACTTTCGCTTGAGGAGAAGGCTGATCAAACGGTTGTTCCCGAGGACAATCAGAAGGGTGACGAGTCCGACTCTTCTGTTGTCTATACGCCTAGCGTCACCGATTCTGAGGCGAAGACCGAGCCAGCAGAGACCGCGCCGGCAGTGCCTGAACCTCCCCAGCACCCCGAAGACATGCCAGCCCCTCTGTTTTCCAAATCCACCACTGATCCTGATGCGACTGCGGACAAGGACGATACTTCCAAGGAGACCGAATCCGAAGTTGAGCCAGCTCCGGAGGTTCCCATGGCCCCTCCAGTTCCCGAGGTGCCAGAAGCCCCCGCGGCTCCAGGAACTGACGAGGATGCGACAAGGGAGGCTGGAGACCTACCGCCTGCTGTTCCCGATCGGCCTGACCCGAACAGCGTTAAGCCTGTTGTCGGCGACTACCTCAAGGTGCAATTTGTCGAATACCGTGTTGTGCCCACGATTCTGGTGAGTTCCTCGTGATGATGCGTCATCAATCCAAGCTAATCAGAGTTTAGTCCTTCTTCTTTGCTTACCCGTGGAACAACTTTCTCCATAACGTGGTATATGATATCGTTCAGCAGGTTTTTAACGGGCCTATGGACAGAGGCTACAACCCGACCTTGGCAGTTTCACTGTTTGAGGCTGCGGATATCACGACGGCTATCATCAAGGGCCAACTCGCTAGTGACGAGTCACAGGCCAGGATGAAGACTCGCATGGGTTACATGGGACATCTCACTCTCATCGCTGAAGAGGTGGTGAAGTTTACGGAACGTCACCCTCCCGAACTCTTGTCCGAGACTGTTCTTGAACGGGTTATGGACCCGCGATGGATCAGCTATGTGGAAGGCGCGCTCGCCGAAACTCGCGAGCGAGACAACGCCATTCTCGGCGGAGTCCGTCCCGAGGTGGCTATGGGTAACCGGGCCGGCATGTCTGGCAACGGGCTGGCAGCAGTCGGTCTCTCTGGCCTGGGATCGTCCTTTTCCAACTCCCAGAGCAATACTGGCTCCAACGCGCTCGCTGATGCTGGACTCAACGGTAACGCAGACCTTCAAGAAAGCAGCGGTAACGGTATTGGGCCATTCGCCATCAGCTCAGGCACTCTCATGTCTGGCTTCGGCAGCTCCAGTGATGAGGAGGACGAGGGGGAAGAAGAGAACGAAGACGATGTCAACAATGAGGTGAGTGATATGCTCTCAGAGCTCCGTGAGATGGAACCACCTGCATTGGACCCTTGGACGCAATCTCTTATCGACGACAATAACCCCGACGAGGACGAGGAAAAAGACCGGGAAA